AAATGAGTGTAGTACCTCTGAGTCTGAAGAAGAAGATTTTTGAAATATTGATTAATTTTCCCTTTGGGGCCCCGCCCTGGCCCCAGGGGTTGGGGTAGGAATCCCAATTTTACAATTTTGAAGCCTCATCTACCAAGGATGATTCTGACCAAGTTTGAAAAAAATCCAGCCACTGGTTCTTGAGAAGAAGTTGAAAATGTAAAAGTTTACGCACGACGCACAACGGACGACGGACGACGGACGACGACGGACGAAAAGCGATTAGAATAGGTCACCTGAGCAAAGCTCAGGTGACCTAATAAAGGGACATAATTATCATGTTACATTGATATTTCAAATGTGGTTATGACATTGATATCAACCATGTATAAATCACATTTATGTAGAAAAGGGAGAATTACATACACCAATATTTTACATTCTCAATCATTGAATTTACCATGCATATCTATAAATACAGCTTTTAGCATGGTATTGTTAATACTCCACATCAAAATGAATACAGAAAAACAATTCACTCACACTATATACAAATGTAGATTACTTAAAATATACTAATTATATATAAATATATTAATTAGTACATACTGTACATTAATCATTCAACAACAGTGTCCATGGTTGGAAATAATTGGACACCATGTTTATAAACATCACTTAATATGTGAATTATAATTGTAAAAGTATATAAAATATGTCAACATTTTGAAATGTAAACAATTTAATACATGACATTTAGAAGACTTTGTAAGGCTGCACACTGATTTTCAATAGTTACATTTTTTAACAGATTTTCTAGATGTATTTAAACCTAAAATAACAAATAAAGAAGTTGATGTAAATGAGGTCCGACTTAATAACAATATACAAAGCAACATGAAATTTGAGGGAAAATAATTTTGGAATGTTCTAGCTTAGCAGAACATTTTGAAATGTAAACAATTTAATAAATGACATATTTAGGAGACTTTGTAAGGCTGCACACTGATTTTCAATAGTTACATTTTGGGAAAATAATTTTGGAATGTTCTAGCTTAACAGAAGCCAGATTGACATACCTGTGAGTATAACAACATGTAGTTGAAACACATTTTATCTACAGTATTGTACAAAACAGGACAGATGAAATGTTGATTTAACAAGTAATCTCATCATATTTTCTTCATTATGGAGTATAGGCAGGAAAGAATAAATAAAGGAAGGAATTAAAAATGATTTCATGAATTGGAAATGAAATTGATAAATTCAATTACCTAATAGGTTTTTAGAATTATTTTTGGTGATGCAGCAGTGAAAAACGAATCTATCATGAAAATCGATACATGTAATTAAAAAGAAAATACTTTTGAAGCCTTTTTGGTAATCTTACAATATCTCTTCCGACGATCACTACATTATGTATATTCTAGACTAGGTCTTTTGACTTCAGTGCAGACTACATTTTAAAATAATGTGAGAAAAAAAGATGTCAATGTAGAAATGAAGTAGTAAATATACCACGTACAGGTACATAACAGAAAAAAAACCACCCTTAACAAAAACTTTCTAAAATTGGAACAAAGGGAAAGTATTGAACAAAGTTTCCATACGGTATAACATGAAATGTTCCTTGTGTATAAACATTTCATGGTTGGCCAAATAAATACAATGACTTTGAATCATATACGTGTCTACTGTTTATTAATATAGGATATTCACGAAAGTTTATACCACGAAACTATCTAAATAGCTTCAAACCACGAACGAAAGTACCCACAGACATTTCGTGTTATACAGTAGATCAAAGTAGCTGATAAGATCAAAGTATTATTGAAAGTGACAAACATTCTTTTTGTAAATAAATATTGTACAATTGTGTAGTATATTCTTTCCTAGATACATAATTTTATATATCAAATTTGTACAAACATAAATATCACATAATTCAAAAGAAGCTGTTAGTTCAGGCATGACTACAGTTTCCATAAATCATTCCCGAAAAGAACGCCATACCATTCAAGACTTTTACGAGACATAATGAAGATGAAATCAACAATATACAATCCTCAACAGTGTCCTGATCATGAGTGTACACAGGTCCAATGGGCCTGAATCGCTCACCTGGTATTAATCTTACACTCGTTATCTTAAAAGTGGACTTAAATACAGCTACAGCTGGCATAATACCAGTGTTTGATTCAAAAGAATCTATTAAAAGATTTAAACATGTGACACATGTGACCTTTAAAGTCAAACAAGGACATTAAGTTGAACATACTTTATAGCCTTTCACACCAGCATGCTTCTGGTGAAATTTCATTACCCTGGCCATTTAGATTATTTAGAAGTTGTTCAAAGATTTAAACATATTTGACCGCTGTGACCTTGCAAATTGGGTGAAGGTCATTCATTTGTTTACTGGCCAAGTATCAACACCCTAGGCCTCTTGGTTATTCAGAAGAAGTTGTTTAAAGGTTTTAACATATTTGACCCCTGTGGCCTTGAATATAAGTCAAGGTCATTCATTTGAACAAACTTCGTAGCCCTTCATGCCAGCAAGCTACTGGCCAAATATCACCATCCTAGGAGAAGAGGTTGTTTTAAGTAACAAGAGGCCCATGGGCCTTAACGGTCACCTGATATATTTATACAGAGAGTTGATTTTGTTTTTAACATGAACAGAAATATTATTAAAAGTGACAAAAAACAATAAAACCACCTTACTCAATATCTAGCATACAGATTTCAGACTAAAAAGGATTTGAAACTAGCACCTACAGCCCTTGGGGATAGGGCTGGCTCAAAATTTTCAAAGTATCAAACTGTCAATTCAAGGTTATAATTCCAATCAAGTTATTAACATGTAATATTCAAAGTATCATTTGCCATTATAAACCATAATAAATTTTGCCCCCCCCCC